CACATGCTGTGTGGTATCGGCGTTTGGTATCGGGGCATTTTAACTAGTATGAGTACGAGTACAGGAGATCAGTATCGGGCCCGATACCGATACCAGTATCGGTATCGGTGCATCCCTACTTTTTAGTGCAGGTTTCTATAAAAACTCTTTATGAGAACACATCCTCTTCAACATTTGAAGTACCTTCTGCCATACCAACTATGTTAGAGTCTTCCATTATGGTCCTCAATCACATAATTTCCCTTCTTATACACTGCTCTCTAAAATACTTGATTCTGATTGGTCAATAATTGCATTAAATGGCCAAATATTGCAGTGTAATGACCAATAAACTCTATATTCCACAATGATCGCTTTCTTTTTTCATCTATGGCCCATAAACCTTCAAAGTTTAAGACTTTTTAATCTTTTTTTCAGTTTTAAACTCACGTTTATTCCTCTAAAAGGTGTTCATTCAAATTAATTTCAAACTAAGGAACTGAATTTACATGATGTTCTTGGTTGGCGGCGAATGCAGGGTCGGTCAGGACCCTGACTGTACGTTATGCCTTACATCTAACCTAGCAGTGAACCCTGTAGATATGATAGAAAAGATCCCTCAAAGCCTCATTTCTCATCTCATCCTGGAGAAAGTTAAGGAGAGGCTTTGTAGAAGCATTAGATGGATGAGAGATGTTGATACCCTGTGCCAATCTACCTCTGAAACCCCTCCTCATCAACCCTTGACTCAGAGAGGGAGCACAAGTCCTCCTCTTACCTTAGAAGGGCTCTCAGCGGCAGACGCAGAAGAGCTGTCTGAAAGAAAGCTCTTGAAAATGTTCACCTGTGATACTGCTTTTTAACCTCTTAGGTTTCTCTGCGGTTCAAGAGATGTGGCGAGGAAAGCTCTTTCTTTCAGAAGTGCGAGGCCTGGGTAAAAGCTTCTGTGTGGAGACTTGAGAGAGGCTTGTTCTTTTATGTCTCGAAGGGACACAGTGAAACTTCAGTTGTGGAACTGTCTGTTCTGAGAGACAAAGCTTGCCAAGATATTGAGTCTTTTCATTCATGGCTGAAAGTTATATCTGTTTTACTAACAACCAAGCAGCATGTGTCAAAATATGACCATTAAGTAAAAGCGATGGAGATGTCTTGTGCCTTGAATAAAAATAAATCTTTCAGGCTTTTTATAACAGTTAGCTGTGAACTGTAGCCGTTACTGACCCTGACGAGAACTTGAGGGAAGGGTCCTCTGGAGTTTTCAGGCACGTTGATTGGTGGAATGACCCAGTCTCGCTTCTGTCGCCGCAGCCCATTGGACGAGCCTCGCTGGTGTTGTCGTGGAAACGTAATGAGCCTGGGATTTTGATAGTGGTTGTGAGAGGATCCGCCATAAATACCATCCCCAGCAAACTGTGGAAACATATACGCACACTCCATATGAAGCAGATCTTGACATTCACAAAGACAGCATATTAAAAAGAAACTATAAAGAATTAAATTTGATGCTATAAATAAGATCATCATGATTCAAAAAGAAAATCATAAATGACTTATTTTCAAACAGCATATATATATATATATATATATATATATGTTACTTTTAAATCTCACTAATAAAGAGATTTGACAAGATATCAAAATCTATAAACAAATGTCAGACATT